CCCCCCGCCCCCGCTCATCATCATCTGCTTTCCCTCACTCATCGTTAGTGTTTGGATCCCCCCCCCCACTCCCTACTGCCTTTGCCTCTTCCTCGTGCCTAGATCCTGGGAGGCAAACCTATATTTGACTTCACAAAATTCTCCATTCTTTTGAGATGTTTAAATATGATATGTGTGAGGTGTTTGTGGAAGTGCGTCAATGGGGTATAGAAGTTTAGGCTCTCTTTCCAACGTGTAACTTGAAACAAGTATTTTTCTATGTCAGCCTCAGTTTCCCCATCTATAAAATGAAAGAACTAAATATCATTATTTTCCAGATTAATTTCAGGTATATTCAGAATTCAGTAATTCCCTTTGGTGGACCAGCCTTTGGGGTGGGGGTGGGGGGGTGATGAAATCCTTGGAGAAATGTTTTTCAGTGACTATGGGCATTAATAGAAAGCTTGATTTACTTTATTTTTACTTTATTGTCACTTTTAGATGTTTTCTTTCATAAAGGATTTTAAAATATATGCATTTAGCCACTGTGGTACAATGTCTGTCGCCCACAGCTTCAATAATGGTTGGCGCAGGGAAAAGGGATTTTCAGATACGACATCGAGGGCTGCGAGAGCCTCAGAGTATAATTTCAGCATTGTCTGAAATGGAGGCTACAGAATCAGATTCACAGCGTCAGGGGGTCAAGGGATTTTTTTTTTTTCATCACCACCTGTGCTCCGATGAAACAGAATAATCTATCTTGCAGTGAGAAAACAAGGTACTTCCGTGGGTCTACTTTAAACACACAGCATCTCCGTCCACGGCACATTAATACGGGGAACTACTTGAACTAATCCGAAGCATCCGCGGAACATTGGGTAACTACAAAAGACCCTGGTTCTAGCCTTTCCCGACTCCTCCGCCCTTACCCCGAAGTCAGGACCTCAATTTTATGCTCTGTGCAGATTAGGAAAGGCAAAGTAGGTTTCCCACAGGCTTTAGGAGGGGGCACGTCTCCCCTTTGCCTTAGGTCTCCAGGGGGGGATCCTTTTATTTGTGCATCTAGGACCACCTGTTGCTCTGCCCTGACTTTTCTTCCTCCGCTGAATGCACGCTCCTTCAGCAAGTGCCCAGGGTGTGCGGTTGATGTCGCCAGAGACTCCCTAGAGCGCTCGGGCAGCTTTTCCGACAGTTCCGGGAGGGCAGGCAAACTTTGAAGGGAGGCTTTGGGGTGTCCACAGAGGGCAAGGGTCAAGGCCGGGGGGTGGCGGTTGGGGGAGGGGGCCGAGGCCGGCGCGCACGCCCCCGCAGCCCTCCGCCGCCGAGCAGTCCCTACGTCACGTCGACGGCAAGCGGAGCTCCCTCAGCACGCGCCTGCGGGCGGTTGACTGCGAGCGCGGCCGGCCGGGGGCGCGAGGCGGAGACGGCGGCGACTCCATGGCCGGCCTGGGCCGCTGACAGGGGAAGGGGTGGGGGGGGAAAGGCCGGCCACCGCGGGGCGACGACGGCGAGGAAAAGAGGCAAGTGACCAAGTGAGGCGCCCCGGGTCCGCCTCGGGGCGCTCGGGAGGGCAAGGCGCCTTGGCGGGCCAGCCCGGAGCAGCACGCGGGGTGCGTGCGGGAGGGGAAGAGAGGCGCGGGAGGTGCGGCGCGAGGCCGGGGGCGGAGGAGGGGAGCGGGCAGCCAACGGCCACAGGCCGCTGCTCCGGACCCCAGTCTCGACGTCCTGGTCGCTGGGCTTCGCGCTTCCCTGCCACCCGCGGTGTGAAGAGCTCCCGGGAGGGACCTGAAGCGGAACTTCGGGGTGAGGACGGAGCTGGGCAAGAGTCTGAGGGGAAGGCAGGCGAGGGCGGGAAAAGGGAGCGCAGCGCTGCTGGGCCGGCCGGCCGGCCGAGCCGCTCACACTTTGGCCCCCTGTGGCCCCGAGTTTGAATGGCCCTCTCTGAGGTGGGAACCCCAAGCTTTCTGGTTGTCCGTCAGGTCAGTGTTGGGCACCGCGGGGAAGGAGATGGGAAAAGGGGGTGTGAAGGAGATGGGAAAAAGGGGGTGTGAAGGAGATGGGAAAAGGGGGTGTGAGTTCTAGGAAGGTATACTTGAGCTCAGCATGAGGGAAATTTCCCACAAAATTTAGCCTTTGCCAAGCCTTTGGGATACTGTGCTGGTCATGCCAACCTTAGAATGTTGGCTTTTTTTTTTCCCGTTTTCTGCCCCCCACCTCACCCCCCACATCTTGACGGGGGAAGGTTTTTGATTAGATAGCAGTCCAACTGCCCTTTAAATGTTTAAATCCCCTGAGCCCATGATTCACCTTTTATGATCCTTGTCACCATTATTTATATTATTCTCTTACAGAAATAACCGTGGTCAGTTCAGCTGCTCTTGTAGAATTTGGTTTGCTTTAGATTTTAACGCCTTAATGCTTTGGATGTGGTAATAGGACATCTATTGTGTATTTAAAATACATACAGCTTAATTAAAATGCTAATAATTAGGGGCCCTCCAGTTTCCAGCTCAGCACCCTACACAGGCTGTAGACCCAAGCCCTTCAGCATAAAGCAAGGTTAATTAGCTCTTTTCAAAGCTGGACAACATTCATAGGAATAGATTCTGAGGTCTTAAAAGAAAATTTTCCACTATTTTAGACCGCAAATAGTTTAGTTGTAAAATTTATTTTGCCAGTGTTTGTTTCCTTTCTTTTATTTTCATTCTTAAGAGCTGAGATAAGAACTCTGGGTGAATGGTTTGTATAAACAGACATATGGATTTTCAGCAGTCTGGGAAAACAGGCCACAGTCCTCTTATCAACAGTTAAAAGAAAAAGCAGTGGGTGCCAGAAAGGCAAGAATCAAATCATCTGGGTAGATTAGAGAAAAAAGAATGGAGGAAATTATCCCCATTGCATGCTGAAGACCCGTTTAAAAAAAAAAAAAATAGAGGACTGTAGATGATGCTACAAAATCACAGCAGAACTATGTGTTTTAAACTAGTGAAATTCCCCATGCTTGCTTGCCATATAGTAAGCATACATCACGTATTTATTGAATGTTCAAATGTACTTGAATGGAATGACATATTTTCATTTTTATTGGAACAAACTTTCTGCAGAATGTCAGCACTTCATAAGTGTCATACTAATATAAATTTTATTCTTTTCATAGTAACTAAGGAAAGATTTTATAGTTCACCAGTGGTGCTTACCTAAATCTTTATTTTATCTCCCACTCTCTCTGTTCTGTATAGTCTCTGCTATCCTCACACTTCGTGCTGGTGGACTCCTTGCTGCTTTCATCTGTATTTTAAGACAGCTGGCGGTCTGACAGTAAGCATCAAGATTTTTTTCAGATCTATTTCATTAGTAGCCTTAGTAGTTTGAGATGGTTTAATAAGTGTGTGACCCTAATACTTGACTGAAAATTCTAACATTGTGTTGACAATGTAGTAATCATTATTTTTTAATAAATTAAAGTACAATTAAAGCTAATTCTAGTGACTCCCACCATACTCCAGTGAACAGGCCTAATGGATAGATGGCTCTTGTTAAAGTAAATGGGTCACAAAGCAAAATGAAGTCAGGTTTCTGGGAAAGAGACAGGTAGGGAGGGGCAGGGACTAATGGGGGAGGGGGAGAGAGAGATAAGAAATGTTGGTGAAAATAATCAGAATGCATTACAAATATGTATGAAATTGTCAGTGAACGAACTTAACAAAAAATATGTTGTGCCCACAAGTCTCATTAGCTACAATTTTCGCTGCTCAATAATCATATATGACTAATAACTACCATATTGAACAGTGCTAATGTAGAAGATTCTGACATTGCTGAATGTTCTTCTATTGGACAGCATTGTTCTAGAAATCCTGTTAGCCCATGCCATTTCTTCAATTTGAGAGTCAAATTCAAACTCAGTTTTATTGAAGAGCATGGTACAAGTAAACAAAATATTTCTTAGTAATCCAAGAAATAATTATGTAAAGAAGGGTTTGAGTAGATTGGGCTAAGTGAGGAGGGAGAGAATGGTGTTTTATTAATTAATTTGATCTTCCTTATTTAGGATGACAATGTGAGACCTATATTGAATATTTGTTGGAGAATTTCTTTGTTTATTTTAGAACACCTATTAAAATATGAATATTGTTTACATTTTGTAAAGTACTTCTATATAATAATAAAATTTAGTTAAAATACAGAAAGGAAAAGGAAAAACAGGTTTGGAGAGTGTCTTTAGTATCACAATCTTATCTCTTAAATTGTTATTAATATGCCATTTTGTATTTTCTTTCGTTTTAAATTTATTTTTTTGTCTTTTAAAACATGGTCTCATATAGCCCACATTGACCTCGAATTCTCTACTTAGCCAAAAGAGGGAGCTTGAATTCCTGATCCTTCTGCCTCTGTCTCCCAAGTACTGGGATTTGCAATCATGCCTGCCTTGGATTTTGCTTAACTTACGGATTAGGAGTTGAGTGATACAGCATGAAAGCTGCAAAAAAAAAAAAAAAAAAAAAAAAAATGGGGAGTGGGACAGGGGGCTTCGAAATTACCAAGACTAATAAGGATTCACATTTTCAGGATGAATATTTTGGTTCCAGAAAGCATTTTACATCTAATTTTTGTAGGTGGGGCAAATTCTATCATCTCCTCCATGGCTCCCTTTTGTCTAGTTTTCTTTGGTTTGACTCAGATGCCACCTGCTGCATGAAGCTGTTTTCTGTGCAGATAAGCATACAGTTCTTAACATTTTTTATTATACTTTTAAAGTTAATTAAGGTTCATGTATTTTTTAAATCTTTTTTTAGTGGAGTCTTTTAATTCCTTCTCAGTACAAAACAAATCGTTTGGGATATTTATTTGAATTTTTTTGTGTTTTTCTAAACAGCTGCTCAGTAAATAATGGTTAAAATGTTAACTAATAGTCAAATATTTTCCCCAAACTTCCACACCTTATAATATATGATAATGAATTTAGAGTGTATGAATAAATAAAGAATTAACCTGATTAAGTTCTACTATTGCATTCTTAGGTATTGAAATTTTCTCTGTCCATTCTGAGAGATGGCACGCTTGTTTCGCTATTTCCAGGGAGATCCTGTTGTGACATCTTCTCCCACTGAAGTTCGTATGTGGGTAGAAGGTAAGATCTCTTGAAACATATTTTATTCTTGTCTCTCCATGTCACACTTCATCTTTTAGTTGACCATATTTTATAGACATTTTGTACACAAAAAATGGCGCTTTTCAGCCTTTCAGTATGATGTTTCAGTATTTAAAGTTTCCACCTGAACTCTGTAACTTTAAGGACACACCATTTTATTTTCTGTAAATACATTTTGAGAATAGTTTCATGTTTGGGGTGAGGATATAGTGTCAGTAAGCTTGCCTAGCATGTGCAAGTGCCAGGGTTCAATTTCAAATAATACATGTGATCACACATTCACATGCATAAACATTTTTCCTTGTTTTAATTAGTGCCATTCTTGTGTAGATATTGGAATTAATGTATTAATTAGAATTAAAATAATGTGTTAATATAATTAACGTAATTATTAGAAACAATGAAAACATTCTGAAATAACGGCAGCATATAAATATAGAACACTAGTTGATATGCATTATTCTATAGAAAGGAAGAGGATAGGTAATGTAGGGGAATAAGTGCAATGAAAGGAGAGTTAAATGTAATTAATTTTATTAGTAATTAAAATTTATTACACTTTATATTTTTAACCATTGAGAGATAAGTTTAAGCCCATCACATGGTGTTCACGTTAACAGATATTAAGTGAATAATACATTTACTGAGAAGAAGGAGAGAACCAAAGACGTCTTTCTTCAATTTTCTATATAACTATCAAATCAAAGAATACTCTGGCAAAATTGCAGTCAGTCCTTAGTATTTTTTTTAACTATGAAAACTCTTCTAACGATAATATGAATCATTGAGACATTGGAACGTTTTCTTTACATAGTGATTGGTAATGATGGTTTAGGATATTCTGCTATGTAAAGTAACTTGGATCAGGGAAGACATAGATGAAAATAAAATACGTATAAAAAATTATATTATTCATCTATAAAATAGCTTTCATATGTTACTATTTCCTCATATTTAGTTGAGATGGTGCAATTATCTATCAATGAAAGTATGTAATAAATAATTTCAATTGTATCAAATTGTTTTAATGCAGAAGCATTTCAAATGAACACAGCATTCCATTTATTTTTTCACATTTATTTAATACTAATGTTTATAATTTTTAATCTCTGAAAATGAAATTTTCTAAAGCCATTATAACTTTGTGTTTTAAGAAATAGCAACTTGGTTCCTACTTTTGGGATGAAATTTTAATTTCTTCATTGCTATTTCTATCTTTGTTTCTGTGAATTATCTTCTTTTAGTTTTCATACTTTGAATTTATAAACTAATGAAGACAGTAATAATGTAAGAAGAAATTCCATGCTCCCTGTGTTCCCATAACTTTTTCTTTCTTTCTCAGTACACTTTCTGTCAGTCATTCTAATTGTGGCTCAATATTTATGTATTTATGAAGTCATATTTTATCTATTCTTTATAAAATTTTAAATTATTTGAAGATACTGAAATGATGTTTTCTCTCTTTGTATATAATATGACAATTCCTTATTGAATAGTATATGCTCATTAAATAATGTTACTGATGATATAATAACTTTATTTCCCATCTCAATTTTTCTATACTATTACCCTTACCTCAAGACATGTTCAAGGTAGCACTCTTAGTTAACTTTTGTTTGATGATATGGGCATATTTTATAATAGTATTTGTAAAAGAAAGTAAATGAATTATAGGCAACTGACTTTAATGTTTTTCATTCTCTCACCAAATAAACAAAGACCTTTTCCTTACTATAATCTTAACTTTGAGTTTGTCTGATTCATCATGTTACAAAATTATTGTAAATGTAAATGGTTTCCATTATATGAAGAGAAAAAATAAATTTGACTTACAGGAGACCTTTCCCTCAGCTCTGAGAAGACTTGGGAGTTTACAGGTAACCTTTATTTTAGAATGTTCCAATAACTTTAAAAAAGAAAACAACAACAGGTTAATCTGAGATTCTTACTCATATATAGTGCTGCATATTTAAGTTCAGGTACTTGCATTTTTAAATTAAAATGTAATTGCATAATTTACCCCTCTTTTCTCCTTCTAGCTTTTCCTCCCCATATACCCTCTCAAATTTATGGCATCTTTTTCTTTAATTATTGTAACATATATGTTTATATACACATTTGGGCAAATAAATACATAAACACAACTTGCACTTGGTATTAGAAAACCATTTAAGGCTTTGATCCCTTGGGAAGACGAATTCACCCTCTTTTATCAGTCATTAATTGCCTATAGCTCTTCTTCTAGGGGTGAGGCCCAGTGAGAGTTCCCTCGTCCATGTTGGCATGCCAACTGGTATTGTCACTGTTCTGGTCTAGTTTAGATATCCATGTTGTTGAGTTCATGATTATGACTTGCCTGCCATATCTAGAAGACACAATCACGCAACAGATGTCCTGGCCCTCTGGCTCTTACAATCTTCCCCATTCTTTTTCTACAATGTTCCTTTAAAGGAAGTATGTGTAAGGAGTATGTTCTAGGTATATGACTGTATCACAGTCGTTCTCTGTATTTTGACTAGTTGTGGATTTCTAAAATGTTCTTCATCTGCTGGAAAAAGAAGCTTCTTTAATGACATCTGAGAGCTACATTCTGTGTGGATATAAGGATAAGAATTTAGAATACGTTTAAGAATTATTCTGATTTAAGAAAGTAGCTGGACTAGTTTATTCTCTAGGGTCCATGAACTCATTAACCATGGGGTAGTTAGCTAGGTTCACAATACTAGGCATGATTTCCCTCTTGTTGTGCAGACCTTATATCCAATGAGACAGCTGTTGTTTACCATGAAGATATGGATGCCACTATTAGACCTTTAAGGTTATTTTGCCCTATTGGCCACTTTTGTGTTTCATAGGCATCACAGATGGATAAGACTATTGGTTACTTAGTCTTTCTAAGTTGTATTTCTAAGTCTGAAATACAACACCCAAGATACTTTTCTCGGTATCTTGCGCAATTCCTTCTGGTAATATGAGAGCTAGTCTTCAGGAAAGAGGCTTTGAGATCAGAGTCATCTCAAATCTTCCACGTTTGTCCAGTGTCTGAACAATGTTGTCTTCAGGAATAAGGGCTTACCTTCAGTTTCTGGGAGACAACCAAGGGCAATAGGAATAGGCTATATTGTGTTGGTAGCATGTTGGACTCTCCTGACAAACAAGATGAAAAGAGGCCTCTGGTACTTGATACTGAGACTTTTGTCTGTGGCTCTTGGGAGAAACATTATCATCCCAAGTTCCACAACTCCATTTAAACTGTGTGTGTATACACATATGCTTGTATGCATTATGTGTAATTTTAGATAAATATAAAATAATATATGATTCTCCATACATTTTTCAAATATTTAGTGTTATTTCTCTCTCCTCCCTTTCCTATACCCCAATTAATGGCCTTCCTCCGTTTTCCCCATTTCTTCCTTCTTAGCACTTATATCCTGTTATTCCAGTCTCTAGAACCCCCTGCTCCACATGGTTGCTTTCTATTTTCCTTGTTTCTGTGGTTACTCCAGGTTATATACTCACATCTGAAGATTTGTGTCTAGGATCCATAAATGAGGGCAAGCATATGACACAGACTCACAGACTTTCTAAGTCTGAAATACAACACCCAATATAATATTTTCTAGTTTCAATTTTACCTGAAAATTTCATGATTACATTTTTCTTTACAGATGAGTAGTGTCCCATAGTGTATATGAACCACATTTTCATTATCTGTTCACCAGGTGAAGGACATTTAGGCTGTTTCCATCTCCTACCTTTAGTGAATAGAGCACAATGAATATGGCTGAGCAAGCAAATATCTATGGAGTAGGGTGTCAATTCTTTTGGGCCTTGTGTCAAGCTGGGTCATATGGCAGATTGATTTTTAGTTTTTTTGGTAATTCCTCACACTGATTTCCAGATTGGCTGTACTAGTTTACAATCTGAACAACAGTGAATGAGGGTTCCCTTCCTCCAATATCCTCTCCAGTATTTGTGGTTAGTTGTTTTGTTGATCTTAGCATTTCTGACTGGGGTAAAATGAAATCTTATAAAGATTTAATTTGCATTTCCCTAATTGCTAGGGATGCTAAACATATTTTTAGGTATTTATTAACCATTTTAATTCCTTTGTTTTAGAACTCTGTTCGGATCTATAGCCCATTGTTTTGCATTCTCTATTTTTAAATTTTATTGTTTTTTATTTTTAAAATTAAAATATGATTGCATCATTTTCCTCTTCCCTTTCCTCTCTCTACTCTCATGTATCCCACCTACTCCCTCTTGATAGCTAGTAACAGACATGATTGTCCTCCTCTTGGGTGGGCCTTAAGTCCAATTAAAGACCTGTTGGCTACCACCAAGGTATGAGTGCCACTATTTGCACCCTTAGGATTTTTGTGCCTTTATATTTATCATTATTGTTTATAGGCGTTGCAGCTGGGTAGAAATGAATGGTGGTTGCTTCTCTTCATTGGAAGATTGTAGTATGAAAGCTAGTCCTCAGAAAGGAAGCTCGCAGATCAGATATCCAACTCAGATCCTGTGGGTCTTATGTCCAAAGTGCATGGTGTCTTCAGCAGTAGGAAGTTACCTTCCCCCTGTAGGAGGTATCCAAGGGCAAAATAATAGTCTGTATTTTTTGGAGGAGGGGGTCTCTTGGACTTTGCTCACCAACAGTTCCAAAGGGGGTTTCTAATGGATGGTATTGGGATTTTTGCTAGACAATCTATGGTCCTTTGCAAAGTATTGTCAGTTCAAGTTTAATAACTTCATTTGGATTGCATATGTATATACACACACACAGACTTACATGTATTATATATAATTTAGCTAAATAGAAAATAATATGATTTTTTACAGCCTTTTCAGACCTCCTTAGTGTTATTTTACCATGTTTCTTCCTTCTCCTTTTGTATTTACTTCCTCCTTCCGCAGTAAAAGTGCTTCCCCATTTTATGCACTTGTGACTTCCAAATTACTTGTAACCTTGTTTT